GGCAGCAAGTCCTGTATAAGGATATGTTTAATGAAAGCATGTAATAGGGTGGGCAGACTATGACCTTTGAAACCAGGTAGACCTGGGGTCAAATCCCAGTTTCCCTATACACTAGCTTTACAACATGGGGTTTCCTCACAGAGTTCCATTTGTTCCCTCTAAAATGAGGATCAGAATGGCAACACTGAAAGGCTGTGGGAAGGAATGACTAATATTTGAAAAGCATCTGGTAGAAATTAAGCACTCAGTCCGATTTTATTAACAGTGGGACTCTTTCTACAGCCCAGTCCCAAAGGCAGTCATCTCAGCCAAATTGGAAAGATAGTAAATTGGTTCTCAGTGCCTGTCGTCTCTGCTTTAGACTGTCTGTGACCCCCAACACTCTCCTCACCTCACATTGACTGAGGAAACCAGTACCTTGTTCTGCCATCTAAACCTGGCCCCCAAATATGAACTGTTGTTGCCTTTCCATCTCAAAGAAAGTATTGGCCACAAGCCTCTCTCCCCAGGAATATTTACTTTTAAACTTATCTCTAATGTTGGAACTTCAAAAACTCTTTTCTCTTTCTGAGAGAATTTCAGACATTATCAACAGAGGGAAAGTGATGTTTTGGGCAGGGATTTGGAAGGTTCAATGTTACTCTGGAAGTTAGACCACACAGGTGTAATTATGCATATCTCCCCCAAAAAGCTGACCCAGGAAATCTGAAAAATCTCAGGAAATTTGGAATGAGGCATCTGTGGTGGTTAAGTTTGTGTGTCAACTTGGCTGGGCCCGGTTGAGTGGCTGGGCAGCTGAATGTAGTTATTCCCCATGGTGAGATTGGTAATTAAGTCCATGGTGGAGTCTATTGGAGCAGCTGAGTAGCTGCTTTGGGTAGGTGGTCTGCTTCCCATATATAAGAAGCAGCTTTGGGAATGGTCTCTAGTTTATGGCATGCTTGAACCCTGCATGTAGCCTTGTCATTGTTCAGCAGCCTTCCATGCTCTGCAGACCTCGGGACTTTCAATGGACTTGAATTAATGGCCAACCATGTGGTTTGGTAACATCGGGACTCTGCCTTTTTATTTGTCATCCTTGGGCTTGTCATCCTCAGCAGCCAGCAGCTGTCTGAATGAAGAAAAGCCTCCAGCTTCAGTGGGCTGGGAGCAGAAGGAAAAGCTGAAGCCCAAGGTTGAGGGGCTTTCAACCAGCCCCTAGAGTCTGGCACTTTAAACTAGGACTTAAAGCCTCCAAACTGTAAGAGAATAAACTGTTTGTTCAAGCCATCCCATTTGTGGTATATTCTTATCAGAGTGGCACTAGGTAACCAGAACAGCATCTATCACTCATTTTTCATAATCCATGAAGATTCTAGGGTCAGGCTTTGGGTCCAAAGTTCTGGAATCTATACAGAAAGGCTTCAGCCTCTAGTATTAATTAGCAAACTACCTCTCGTTTGCTTCTGAGAAACCTAGTAGCAAAGCATTCATAAATATTCTGATTCTGCATATTATGTGGAACCAATTGGCTACTTGCCGTAGCCATTAAAAGTTATCATTTGACATGAGTTTTTACCTTTTGGGTGGACTTGGTTCATAATTACACTATTCCTTTTATTCAGTTGAACAGTAGGGGAACCAGGACTGGTGGTATATGATTGTCTTTGAATCCAGTTCATAGAGTGAAGGTGGGGTCTCTAGACACTATTTTAATTAATTTATTTATTTTTGGCTTCATTTCTTTTCCTCTTGTTTCATAGTATATCACTAGGTGAGAATGAAATGGATGCTATCTTTGCTCACATCTTTAAAGGGGAGAAAATTGTAAGAACTCAGACTCTGGGTTTCCCTATAGCATCTTTATGTTAATAACCTCCTTAAATTGGACTAACTGACCTAGAGCAAAAGATTCAGTCTTTGTCATAAGCCCTGGGGATCAATAATTTCTACCTTGGCTGTATAGTTTGGACAAAGTAGTTCATAACCTTAACCACCATGGGAAAGCACAGAAATAAGGGAATCTTGGAGATTGGCAGGGAAAATAGAAGAAGGCACACTGGCCTCCCAGCATTAATTACCCACGAAATCATTTCTTCTAAGATGTAAATAATACCAAGGATATACAGTGCATTAATCAAACTGACAACACTTTATTATGAGTTAGATCTACCCAGACAGATTCTTCCTAAACTTGACATCATGCTTCGTGGACAATACAACCCACTCTCCGTCCTCCACCTCCCCTTTCTCAATCAATGACATTTTCCAGAGAATGTGACCTGGAACAATTTCTTCTTTTTATTTAAGGGAATTTATTAATTATTTAGTATTTTGAAATTGCCAAAAAAATAAATAAATAAAATCTATTTCTCATGTACCCACCTCCCGTCCCCTTGTCTGTCTTCCCTTCTCAGAATTAACCACTATTATGAAGATGATTTTTATACGTTTTCATACTTTCACAACATCTGTATGTATCCATAAATGGTTGTTGTTGGTGTTGTTATGTGCCGTCGAGTCGGACCTGACTCATAGCGACCCCTTCTTGGGTTTCCAAGGTTATGGTATCACTATGGAAGTAGATTGCCCAACCTTCCTTCCAAGGAGTGGTTAGTGGGTTTGAACCACCAGCCTTCTGGTTAGCAGTCAAGTGCCTAAGGCACTATGCTACCATAAATAGTATACAGTATTATTCAGCATTTTAATTGATATAGCATTACACTGTAACATTTTTCATCTATTTTTAGCCAAATTAATTTTAAAGATCTATCCATATATACATGTAATATTGTTGTTGTTATGTGCCGTGGAGTCAGCCCCAACTCATAGTGACCCCTCCTTGGGTTTCTGAGGCAGTATCACTACGGAAGTAGATTGCCCAACCTCAGATTTCATTAATTTTTACTGCTGAACAGAATTGTATGAATAAACTAACATTTGTTTATCCATTTCTTGCCTATTGGGCAATTCGTTGTTGTAATTCTTCACTATTACAAACAAAGTTGTAAATAATAATATGGTCTATTTCCTTGCAAAGAAATGTGAACATTTTCCTGTGGTATATACACAGAAAAATTACAACTCAAAGAGAACATGAATATTCAACTTTATAAGGCATGTTCAAAGTAGCTAAACCAATTTACCTAATGATAGTGTCTGAGAGTTTCCTTTCACATGCTTGCCAATCAATGTATGGTGTCCTCATAAATAGATGTATATTTATTTTACCAATGTGATAAATATAAAATGACGTCTCGTTGTTTTAAAGTACATTTTCCTTATTTCTCAGAAAATGGATTCTCTTTTATATATTCCTTGGCCACTTGGACTTAATTTTCTGTGACTCTCCAGTCTACTGTTTTCCATACTTTGATTGACCTTTTTGCCTTCTCCTTACTGATTCACAGGAACCCTGATGTATTCTGGATACTAAGCTTTCACTAGTTTTAAGCATTACTTATTCTCCCATCTGTGGCTTGTCTCTTAATTTTATGACTCTGTTGTGGTAGTGGTGGTGATGTTTGTCGTAGTACAGACATTTTATTTTAATGTCATCAAACTTATCAGAGTCTTTATGTTACATGCTTTGGGAGTCTTGATTAAAAAATGTGTTACTACCTTAAGATTATAAACAACCTACAAAATTTTTGTCTAATAGTTCTGAAATTTTGCTTCTCACATTTGGCTTTTAATCCACCTTTGTGTGTGTGTGTGTGTCTGTGTGTATGTTGTGAGATAGGTATATAATGTTATTTCTCTTTTATGGATATCCAACTGTCCACTATAGTCAACACCATTCTTTGAAGAGTTCATCCTTTTGTTCACTCATTTATAATGTCACTTCTGTCTGTTGCTAAATGCCCATTTCAAAGTGTGTCTTTCTAAGCTCTTTATTTTTCTCTACTGGTTATTGGTTTGTCTCTGTAAAAATACATAATCTGCTGTACTAATTATAGCTTTATAATAAACTTTGACATGTTGTAGTGAATTCTGACCTTCTCTTATTAAAAACTATCTAGTTATTTTAATAAATGTTGATTCAGGTTAAAAAATAAATGTCCTATAGGCTATTTTAGATATACTTGAAAGATTAGTGTTACTTCATAAAATTACTTTTGGCTTTTGGATAGTACTTCTTTAAATGTGATGCAACTAAATTACACGGGGCCCATGGTGGGGTTAAAACTGTTTCTCATGTAGATCTGACATAGCTTCCTTAATGAACCTACCATGATGAGTTTAACTAGGCATGAAATCTCTCATTTCATCTACAAGTTTGTATGGTGTATGTACGGTAGATTCTCGGTCTACAACCAATGAACAAATCAGAAATAATCATGGAGTGCATAGACCAGCAGGGGCCACAGAATTAATAAAATAACTGTATACAAAATTATGAATGTTAACACCATTTATGACATCAGATCATTTCTTCTGCTTTCAGAGAACAAACGCAGGAATCAATATGCTTGGATCCAAATTTCAGCATCTCCTCTTCTTACTTTTGTGACTATGAGACTCTTTGCCTCAGTTATCCCATTTTAAAAAGAGAAATAGCAGTATCTACTTAGTCATGAGTTGGAATTGATGTGACTAACAAAAATTGTGCTCATATATTTGAGACTACTGAACCAGTTACTACATATAAATAATTAGAACATTGAATAAGGCCAACATTTGATAAATATTAACTGTTGTTATTATCATTTACAGAGACTAAGCCCAAATTGAGAAAGAAAGTAGCTATTTCTCATAAATGTACATATTTTCCACTTCATTGATGCAGCAAAATTTGTGGCAAATTTAAGAAAATATGGATGAAAACATACCCTAGGTCAAAATAACATGTCTATTATATTATGTAGGGAGCTCTGGTGGCATAGGGCCTATTTTTCTTTCTTTCTTTTTTTTTTTTTTTTTGGTTATTATATTATGCCACAATTATCATTTCTTATTTGGAGACATTCTACCTTCTATGTTTGAATTACCCCACGAGCTCCTCCAGGTGACACGGCAGTATGAAGAGGGAGAACCAGAGCACTGTGTCTGAATTCCTCCTCCTGGGGCTCCCCATCCGGCCAGAGCAGCAGGGCATGTTCTTCACCCTGTTCCTGGGCATGTACCTGACCACGGTGCTGGGGAACCTGCTCATCATCCTGCTCATCAGGCTGGACCCTCGCCTCCACACCCCCATGTACTTCTTCCTCAGCCACTTGGCCTTCACTGACATCTCTTTCTCATCTGTAACTGTCCCTAAGATGTTGACGAGCGTGCAGACCCAGCACCTCTCCATCTCTTATAAAGGGTGCATTTCACAGACCTATTTTTTCATATTCTTTGCTGACTTGGACAGTTTCCTTATCACTTCAATGGCCTATGACAGATATGTGGCTATCTGTCACCCTCTCCATTATACCACCATCATGAGTCAGATCCTTTGTGTGGTGTTGGTGGCTGGGTCCTGGGTCACTGCTTGTGCTTGTGCTCTTTTGCATACTCTCCTCCCGGCCCGACTGTCTTTCTGTGCTGATGACACCATTCCCCACTTCTTCTGTGATCTTGCTGCCCTGCTTAAATTGTCCTGCTCAGATACCACCATCAACCAATTGGTAATCCTTACTGCAGGATTGACAGCCATTATGTTTCCATTCATATGCATCCTGGTTTCTTATGTCCATATTGGGGCCAACATCCTCCGGGTTCCCTCTACCAAGGGTATCTGCAAAGCCCTGTCCACTTGTGGATCCCACCTCTCAGTGGTGACTCTCTATTATGGAGCAATTATTGGTCTATATTTTCTCCCCTCATCCAGCAACACAAATGACAAGAACATGATTGCTTCATTGATGTACACAGTGGTCACTCCTCTGTTGAACCCCTTCATTTATACCCTGAGAAATAAAGACATGCAAAGTGCCTTGAGAAAACTCTTGAGTAAGAAAACATATTCTTCCAACTGATATTTATCATTCTTTTAGAACATCCATATGGTCTTATTTCCTCAATTATGTGCAAAGACAGATTATTGAAAATACAGTTCATTTATCTTTGTACCATTGTTGTCACTCAGAAATGTTTTGCTGACATTTTTCTTGCACCTGGTAGTGAGAATAGTAAAATGAGATATGCTTTATAGGACTTTATTCGCTCTTGCTTTATATAATGGAATTGGAAAATACTTTGAGGACATTATTTCACTGCTGTTTGTGATAGACTGATACCATAAATGCTGGCAGTTTGAATCCACCCAGTGGGTCCACAGAAGAAAGACTTAATAAACTGCTTCCATAGAGATTACAACAAAGAAAACCCTATAGAGCAGTTCTAGTCTATGACACATGGGGTTAGCTCTGGTGGCATAGTGCCTAAGGCATTTGACTACTAACCAGAAGGCTGGCGGTTCAAACCCACCAGCCACTCCTCGGAAGGAAGGTTGGACAATCTACTTCTGTAGTGATACTGCCTCAGAAACCCAAGGAGGGGTCGGGTCCAAGTTGATGGCAGTGTGTTTGGTGGTTTTGGTTCTTTTCATTATGAGGGGTCCCTGGGGGGTGCAAATAGTTTCCACTCAGCTACTAACCTAAAGGTTGAGAGCTAGAACCCACTCAGTGTCATTTCGAAAACTTTTTTTTTTTTTAAATAACAAATTTCAAATGATAGAAGACATTTGCAACATACACAACTGACAAAAGATTTATTTCCAGATCATATGAAGAATGATTACAATGCCATAAATAAGAGAAACAGCTCAACAGAAAGAAGGAAAAAGACATAGCTATGTATTTCACGTAGAGTTGATGCTTTTGAGCTGTGGTGTTGACGAAGAATACTGAAAGTGCCACAGACTGCTAAAAGAACTAATAGGTCTGTCCTGGAGGAAGTGCAGCCAGAATCCTCCTTGGAGGAGAGAATGGCCAGACTTCGTCTCACATACTTCAGTCTTGTTGTCAGAAGGGACCATTCCCTGGAGAAGGATGTCATGCTTGGTAAGGTGGAGGTTTGATGAAAGAGGGGAAGGCTTTCAACGAGATGGATTGACATGGTGACAACGGCAATGGACTCGAGTATAGCAAGAATCATGGAGCTGGCGCAGGACCGGGTGGTGTTTTGTTCTGCTGTGCATAGGGTCACTATGAGTCAGAGATGACTTGACAGCACCTAACAACAACAACAACAACAACAACATGTATTTCACATAAGAAGAATTTTGTAGTAATAAGGGTAGAGATTACTGTTGTATATTGTGGATCACCTTCACTGTGTGATGATTTGGGGACCAAACCCAATTATCTCCCAGGGCAGCAGAGTAATCCCCTTCCAGCCAATAGCAGAGAAGATCCACATACTCACTTAAAATCCTAATTGGGAAGTAACATATGTTCTCTTCCACTGGAGAAGATGTATTGTCTAGCCATACCTAGATTATAGGAAATATGGCAGCTGCCTCCCTGTGACAACTTCATATATAGGAAAAGAGTCATGAAATTTTGGTGGACAGCCAGCTATCTCTGCCACAAATGTCCAATAAACATAGGCAAAGATGCTCTAGCTCATAAATATTGAGGAAAATGGAAAGAAGAACAACAATGAGTTATAGTTTTTTATTCACCAGATTTTCAATAATTTAAAAGTCTGTCAATACCAAGTGTTAATGAAGAGGGGAAATAATTAGGACTTTAATATGTTGATGGAAGTTTCAATAGTATAAATATTTTAGAAAAGAGCTTAGCAGCTATATTTAATTTAAACATAAACATACTCTATAATCCAGTAATTTTTCTTCTGGATGTATACTTTGCAAAATCTCTTGTATATATATACTAGATGCATGTATATGAATGTTTATAGAAGCATTGTTAATAATAGCAAAATTATGACAACCAACAAAATGTCCATATAAAATAGAAATATAAGTGTGTTAAATTCTCTCAGTGGAATAGTATACAATATGAATGAGTTTCACAAGGACAACATGAGCCAATGAAAAGAAGACCTGGAAGAATAAATATTATTCCATTTGTATACACTTCTAGAACATGCAAATTAAAGAATTGATGTAGAAGTGCTAAAGCTATAAAGAAAAGTAAGTGACTATTGAAATTATTCAAGATACTGGAACCCGCAAGAGAGGAGGGAGGTATCATTTAGAAGGAGATAAAAGGAACATCAACAATGATTAACTTTCTCTTGGTTAAGCCTGTTGCTGCTAGGGGTCCCTGAGTCAGCTCTGACTCACAGAGACCTCACGTCTAACAGACGAAACACGCTGTCTGGTCCTGCGTCATCATCCTCATCATGGGTATGCTTGAGTCCGTTGCTTTGGCAATTGTGTCAATTCACCTCACTGAGAGTTCCCCTTGTTTTTGTTAACTCTCTACTTTATCAACTATTATCATTGTTTAGTGATTAGTCTTAAATGAGTATTTCTTTTAATGATTCTTTTAAGTGTGCTTATCTATTACATGCTTGTGGGGGTGTGTGTATTGCTCTTTTTTTTTGTATGCTATTTCAATATTTTTTAAAGTTTAAGATATAATTTCCAGTAAAAGAGATAAAACTACTTCTCAAATTTGGAATATATTCATGTGATTTATAGGCCTTAGGCTCTGAGGAATTGTTTGAGTACCACTTCTTCTACATGTTGTTAGTTTTGTAACACTGGACTCACACTATTCCTCTTTTAATCTGAATTCCTTCCTTAATTCCAATTGCTAGCATTAAGCTCTGGTAGCATAGTGGCTAAGGCACTTGACTGCTAACCAGAAGGCTGGCGGTTCAAACCCACCAGCCACTCCTCAGAAGGAAGATGGGGCAA